AGGAACTAACTTGATTGAACTAACAACATAGATTTAGGTAAAGGAGTACAGATTCTACAGATGCAAAATCCAAGTCATGCTAATCATAAAATGATGGCCATTTAGCTATTGTTTTAACATTAAAAAAATCCACATCAACTAAGAAAAATCAGCAACAAACCTACGAATTAATGGAATAAAACTAAACTCCTTTTTAATATGAGCAAACCAGTAAAGAAAATTAACAAAGTATGACAGATTTTGCATAGTTTCTAGACATGAATAGGAATGGAATCTTAACATCTCTGCAACTTTAAATGAGAGAGATGGGGAAGGGGTAGACATACTTCAACATTTTCAAGACATCGGTCTAACAAAAGATAATACAATTAGCAAATCAGAGATTATTGTTTGGAACTATCCTAACACAAAAGTTGACATGGTGACCATTTTTAGGATGATTTATAAAGCAACACGACAAGAAACGGCACAAGTTAAAACCAAACAATTTATAGAGTCAGATTGCAAGGCTCAAGGTTAGCAACATAAATGAACCTTACTCTCGGCAACCTGCAGGGTTTAAAGCTGGAATGATTCATTTTTTTGAAATTTACTAAAGATGAAAAAGGAATTTCATATTTCAATAACAGGCATAAGAATAAGCTCAATAATCGTTTACTTAGAGGATTCGAAACTAGAAGTACTAAAAAAAACATGAGATCAATTCGAAACATCTTAAAAAAAAGACATGTTGACAATATTCGAAATAGCCTCGGCCACATTCAAGCGAAAGTGAAAGATTAGCAGCACTAAATCCAATGAAATGAGATTATGGAAGCCTTTGGAAAACAAGCTTAACAGTGAATTGCAAGCACGACATTACTAGCTGAAATACGAAAGATACAAACAACACTCAACTATACGAGAAACAGAGATAGATTCTATGAGATCAAGCTAGCATAGGAAAGTTCAAAATGACAGAGAAGACAGCCTAGTGTACAAACAAACAGTGAGGGGATAGAGTTACACAATTAGCATACTCAAAGTCTAAACCACATGAATATCCAAACTATTTCGAACAAACAAAGATTTAACCCACTTTAGAGCATCGTAAACGAATCGATAACTCTAACTTCCAACACGTGATATCGAGATAACTTCATTGATGCTTGAGAACACATTAGGCGCAAGAATCAAGGCAAGAAGAACATGTGATTCAAAACAACACGAATTTAAACTCAAACAACTATAATCTGATTCAAACATCTAGCAGGGACAAGGCATGAATAACACAATGTTCTGCCAGAAATTCCAAAATAAAAGCAATAAGCCGTGAACATTCATATTCCAACAGAGCAAGAATGAAGCTAAGGAGAACCCAACAGAGACACGTTCATCACATAATATTCAGAATCGAAATGAAAACATAAACAGAAGAGGAGGTATTACCTTTTTTCGGGCAGCGATACTGGAAACAATGAGCAGGGGAATGAACAGGGGAGAACACCAACTTCTCTTACCACGAACTTCGAATACGAATGGCAAGCTAAGAAAATCCGAGCGGCGAGATATCCTTGGAACTTATAATTAGAATGCTAGATATATGGTTTTGAAGTATAAAATGGATACTGCCTCAGAACTAAGCTCAAAACTTATCAAAATCTAATTTCCAAAACTCTCCCCCATCACTTGAATGTAAAGTATTATTTATAGGGGAAGTTGGGGTCATTTAGGGGGGAATCCGTTGGAGAAATTCAAACAAAAAGTTTGAATTTCTTTTCTCCTTTCCAAGATCAACAGTGAAAGAGATTTGAAGATCTTTGAAAGGGGTAGTTTCTTGTCATTCTTTTCTTGCGTGAAGAAGAAGAAGACGAGTATGGGCAGGTGGGGTCGGGGGTACTGTTGGACGCGACTTCTTGCTGGGAAGAAGACGTTCGCGTGAAGAAGAAGAAGAAAACATACAGGGGTCGGGTCGGGTTTGGCTGGGAATTATTTGGTGTTTGCTGGAATTGAATTGGAATTCTTTTGGTATTGTGTTAGTGGGCTGGGTTCTTTAAGTATTGGACTGCAGGGAATTTATTGTTAGGCTGCTGGGAATGTTGTGGTCTGCTGAAAAATGGGTCCAAAACTTGGTCTCTTAAATGGAGTTTAGGATTTTGGCTAATAAGTTGCAATTTTAATCGATCAATTGCATTACAAAATTAACCAATGGATTAAGAATGTAGCCAAATTGAATTCATTTAGTAAATTAGACTAGTAAAATAAGACGAATTAATATAATTAACTAACGACCTTCTTAATCTTATCAAGATATAATAATCAATTTAGCTATTAATTAATCAAACTAATTGGCAAAATTTAAAGCAAAACTAAAACCTTTTGAGACGACTTCAAATAAAAATATATTAATTATATACATAACTATAAAAACATATTTAAAATTATAAAATTGATGAAACGTACATTTCAAATTTCATAAAAGCTAATTAATTCAAAATTATAGCCATTATTTTAAAATATAAAAATAAATTGAGATGATTTTCGAATATTTATAGGATATACTTATTTCATACATAATTATATAAAACATAGATATTATTAAAAATTATATAAAGTGATAGACTATTTAAAAACTTGCAAAATATTATATATTTTTTTTATTGAAATTTTATGAAACTAATTATTTTAAATCGTTTGAAATTGAAGAAGCTCGATGATTAATCCATAATGTGGAGGTCCAAAATTGGGTGTCAACAACTGGAAGCTAGCTAGTGGCTCATCAGCCGTTCTGAATGAGTTTCTTGGTCTTACCACTATTTAGATACTTCGTCATCACCTTTTTACCAAGTGACCCAAACCGAGGGATATTTCAAAGGAGCATGGCCTTTAAATTGAATTTAATCGGTCAATAGTATTTGTTCGAATCAATTAAACATTTAAAGCGCAATAGATGAAATATTTAAGTGAAGCAGTTGTTTCAAACAGCCTTAAAGTAACCTTTTTTTCACCAAAACGCAGAGCAATAATGAACCCCAACCAACTCAAAAATGCAGCAATAGTTTGGCAAAAATGCAGCAGTTCTTAAGCCTCAATTTCTACCTAAAGTACCACAGTTATCATAGCAATATTTTTGACAATATGGCTGAATTACAAGTGCAGTGAAGTTTAGCTCAACACATAGCAACCATTGGCTCAAATTTGGCTAAAAGTATAGCAAATATCTTAGTTTAAAATTCAGCAATAGTAAAAGAAAAAATAAAACAACCCGAGGCTCAGAAAACATTACAAAATGGAGCAGCAAAAGGCTAAAATGCAATAGTGATTCAACTTCAAAAAGAGGTGTCAAACTGTAGCAGTCAACCTCATCAAAGACAATAATTAATTCTCATCAAAGACATGAGGTAACGATAAACATGCCAAACAGAAGTTAAATAAGCAAAGTTGTTTCATTGTTAGCCTCAACAGATTGTAACAGAAAAATGGCCAAAGTGCTGAAATTGTTCATCAATGGCAGCAACTATTATCAACAACATCAAGCCACAAATTCGCCCAAAACACAACAACTATATTTTTCTATTAAGTAAGGTATATGTCGAAATACCCCTATATCAAATTAATTTACTTGAGAATTTGCTCCTGCAGATATAAGCACGTTGAGAGAATTTGACAAAGCAAGCCCAGTTATTCTTTTATGATGTCCTTTGAGCTTTGTCTTTACCTACACAAAGGGATCCTACTTGATGTCAATGAATTTAAATAAATACTGAATTAATAATATTTCGAAATTTACACAATGAAATAAATGTCTGAATAGCTCAACCTCATTAACTCGAACATTATATATCTGGATGTAGGAGTCATCCATTCCTATGGCAATAACATTGTTATCTTTAGGATAAAATTCCAAAAAGGTTATTGCGGGTGGGGCAGTAATAAATGTTGTCATAGTCTGCATTTGCAACAGACACAATATAGAGATTAGTGGAAAGCAAAATAAAGCAAAATAATATATAACTTCATGCAACTAATTCCTGATTTATAGCTTCTTAGTTGAACTGTTAGGCTAAAGCTAATGAAATGTCAAATCCGAATAGTTGTAAAAATATCTATTAAGATCAACTAATATCATGTGGTTAAAGCTATAGTTGTTTCAGGTAAACTAACACAAAGTACATATTAATTTACTTTGTAAATCTGGAACGTTAAGGCAACGAAAGAGCTGGAATAAACAACATACTATCTTTGCTAGTTTATTTCCCTAGTTCCTTCACTATTAGGGAGAGATTGTTCCATTCATTCGAGAACTCAAAAAGATGTTCTCTTTCAGTAATCAAATATCTCAAAAAGGAAGATATTTATTATTGGATAACATAAGAACAGTCAAGATAATATGAGAAGAAGCAAATCTAAGTCACATATATTTCAATCGTATCAATTCAAAAGTCACGGAAAAAAATAAATCTCAACTGTAGTTAAGAAAACTCGCCTTTTCTTCAACCCTGCGCTTGAATATTCGAATACAACTGCCATTTTCATTTCCTCCATAAGTAGCAGCTTTCTCAAATTCCTCTGGAAAATCTTAGCTATCCCTATCCAGATCATGAGACTCTTTATGAAGAGTCAATTTGAGAGCTCCATCTAATAAGGACCACTTGAGATTGGTTAACCCCTGATTATTTAGATGAAAGAACAATACTTTTTAACTGCGATTACAATGAAAGTGTGTAGCATTTATAATAAATCACGTATATTATATCGTGGGCAGGAACAAATGAGAAACCAAAAAAGAACAAATAAAGAATTACATAGTCCATATAAATTGAGAGGGATATCCATCCATACCTTCTTCATTCTCTAGAGGTGTATCCATTCATTAGTTTGTCACTTTCTCATATGAAGAAGAACTTGAGGATTACAGTAAAGTTTGGTGCTCGAGAACTAAAAATAATGTTTCGACGTTATAGCCATTTGTAAGAACACTCTAAAAGTACTTGAGAATTATATTACCCTCTAGAATACCTTCACAAAATTGCCGGCTGTTTTTGCTATCGTAGTTAAGGTGAGTTCTATTCTGTATTTTATCTCACTTTTCTTATTACAACCCTTTTTTTGTTTAATCACATTGATTTGATTAATTAGACACCCACATGAAGCATGGGTCTTAAGAAGTTTGTTTTGACAGCTGAATTTTCAATTTTGTGATTGAATGCGTTACATCCGATTGTTAATTTATTATTTATTTAATCAATTTCTTGCTGATATGTTAAGATGGTTGTGTGCGCTGATTTAGTATCAGATGCAAAGATAGGATCTTCACAATGGATGTTGGAAACGGTAACCCAATTTCATCAATATGTTTCAATTTAGGTTTGTGAATTAGTACTTTTTTCCCTTCACTGGTCATTTTATTTAATTGGTATTGTGTGAATTTCTTCATTGGTATCTTAAACTACGAAAGCAGAGAAAAAGTCAGGTTTGGCATCAAAAAGGTTCAAATATCTAATGTTTTCATCGGGTAAGTTTGTAAATTCCCTATCAGTGATCTCAACTATTAAGAAGCATCAACATAAATTCTTTAACTATGCTTCATTTATTTCTAATTTGATTATGTGAGTGAAGTTTGTTTTCTTTCAATTTGGCGAAGATCTTGTGCCAGTACTGAATTTAAATCTCAATTTTGTATACCTTTTACGTTCTTCCATGGTTCCCTTATGTTAATTTAGTTATTTATATGCATCGTCGTTACAGGTAGGTAAATTCTATGTTCATTAAGGATTTTAATGTTTTAACCTAGCGTTTGATATTGAGATTTCTTGGAATTCAAATGAAAGCTTCAAATTAGGGGATTCTAGAGTTTAATTGATCTCCAAAATGCAGATACGTCCTATTGGGAGTTCAAGGGCAACAAATGAACAAAGAGTACAATATAGTTATCTGATAGAGTTATAAAATGACTCATATAGGGAGGTAAGTAATTGAATTTTCCCTGCTTTAGAAAAGCTATGGGAATGTGTGGCAGCTTTCTTAAATCAATTCTTTGGCTCCTGAAAGCTGTAAAGCAGGTTTAGTTGATTACCTTTTGCACCCGATTTACTATCAGTTAAATATAAAACGCCAACAACTTTCCACATGAAAGTGGACTGTAATCCATATGCTTATAATGCATACGTGTGATACAGTTACTAAAGAGTGTTGTCTTGATAGAATATTTTCGAGTCAGATGTGACTCAGAGAGGTTATAAGTTTTAGTTAATAAGGGCATCAATTGCATTTGACTAGCATATTTATTCATCTAGCTCTGATGGTGCATCTTGAGCTAGGTCTCATTATGGACATTTATTTCAGGTGTTTCTGCATTTTACGGGCTAGCTAGCAACGGTATGTGAAGATTCCATTAATTTATCATGTTTAGCAAACACTGTTACATCTCTCATAAGCTGCTGAAAATTGATAGTAGGTAGATAACCTTCTACTTATGTAATGTATTTGTCATATGCCACCTGTGTCAAATACAAGCTTTTGCTGCCGGTTTTTATTGACATGTGTCTACAACACTGAGATCTACATATGCGGGGGAGTCGTGCAACAACCATCTCTCCAAATACGAAGGTATTGTATCTGTTAACTTCTCATTTTGCTCAACTGAGATATAGTTTGTAGCTTGTGTGATGGTTTGCTTTTCATTTAATCCATGACAAAACGATAGTTGAGTTGCCTAACCCGAAAAATTATTTGTGTACAGATAAAAAGATATTATATAGTGTTTCTTTTTTAATATTAATAACTCCGTCACTCTTTCTGAAAAGCTAACATTGTTTGATTGCCTCCGGTAAAGAAATAAGGCTCTACACATAAATATTATTCTCGTGGGTATTGCATTTGATAGATCTACTGATGGTGCAAATAACAGTAAAACAATACAAACAAGCGATATGCAAGGCTTGGTACTGTTATCTCCTGTATTCAAATTAGCAAATCAGAAATAATAAAAGATGAAAAGAAAAATACAAAGAACTATCCGAGTCCACATTAACCCACTGTGTGTCCTTAAGAAATTTAATCCCCTCAAGTACCCGAGGTTGCAGATTAATTCCTCCCAAGATAAAACGGATTAGCCATTAAAGAAGTAGCGGTACCTCAAACTTCGATAATTTCAACGAACTCAAAATGACAACAACGAATCACACACACAGACACGATCGATCGATTTTGTTTTGTAAGAAATGTATGCAAAAGAA